CCGGGGCCTGTCCCATATAAATCTAACAAGACGATACCATGGAACTACGGAGGAGAAATATTCTATCATGGTATCAAACAGATTGAATCAGTCCAAGAGAATTCTGATAATGAAACCCCCGATATAGTGAACATTGTGGGAACAAGCAAGATAACTCGCAGCGGAAGGATCTTCTCTCCGGAGATTGCTCCTCCACGAGCAGTCTTCGGACCCTCGAAAGCTTCTGTGCCTGTTAAGCCATCTGTGCAAAGCCCGATAATTGAAGAATTGGATACTCCTGAAGTTAGACCCTCTGTTGATACTACCGATAAGGGTAAGGGGATACTAGAAGCGCCTGTCAGGATGAAGGCTCAGACTGTGGTAATTCCCGAGACCACCCATAAAGAGATGGAAGAAATCTTAAAAATAATCAAGAGGAGCGACTACGATGTCGTGGAACAGCTAGGGCAGACCCCTTCCAAAATATCCATGTTGGCTCTTCTACTCTGCTCTGAGGCCCATGCGAAGGCCTTGATCAAATTTTTAAAGACGGCACACGTGCCTCAAAAAACTTTGGCTGACCAGTTTCAAGAGTGCGTGGCCAGCCTTACTGCTGATAATGGTCTTGGTTTTTCCGATGCTGATTTGACCCCCAAAGGAAGGAAGCACAACGACACGCTGCATGTCTCAGTAGAATGCAGGGGAACCACCCTTGCCCATGTCCTAGTTGATACCGGTTCATCTTTGAATATGCTGCAGAAAAAGGCGTTGGATAGGCTGGATTGCGAAGGATTGACCCTCAAACCCAGTAACATCGTTGTTAGAGCCTTCGACAGTTCTAAGAGGATGGTTCATGGAGAAGTGGACATTCCTATCAAAGTGGGCACCGAGACCTTCAACTCTACCTTTTATGTGATGGACATCTGTCCTTCATATTCTTGCTTGTTGGGAAGGCCGTGGATCCACTATGATGGGGCAGTTACCTCCTCTTTACACCAAATGCTAAAGTATCCTATTCAGTGTAAGATTATAACGGTTCACGGTGAGGAAGAGTACATGATAAGTCACCTCAACTCCTTCCGCTATGTGGAGTTGGATGGCGAGTTCATAGAAACGCCTTTCCAACATTTTGAAGAGGTTCCTCTTGAAGTCGCAGTTACGAAGACAATGATTGATGTGCCTGTTATTTCCAAGCCTGTGTCTAGGATGGCATCTCTCAAGGATGCGGAGGCTGTAACCAAAGAAGGAAGGAGTACAGTGTGGGGGCAACTACCTGATTTTCCTCACAAGACGGACAAGTTCAGACTTGGTTTTACTGTTGCTGGCCAAAAAGCTGTGCGTCGCTCCAGGGATGGAGGACCACCCGTAAAAATCACTCACCATGGAATTAATGCCTTAGAAGATGATGATGAAGAGGACAATTTTGAAGATTGGATCTTTCCGACCGTCGAAGGAGGATTAAGCAACTGGGAAGCGAAGGACTTTATTCCCATTACTTTCATCAACAAGTAATTTATCTTTGAACAATTTCCTATTTTGGTCTGTAATAACTAAACAATTCGTACACTATTTTCACCTTATGCCTTGCCCGGGGCATATAGGTCCATTTGTAAGGGCTTGATTTTCTTCATTATCATATTCCATGTTTAATGAATCATTGGACGTTTTCATCTATAAACTGTTGTGTTCATTTTCTTTCCTTTTAAATTTTGTTTTGTTTAAGGATGGCTATCCCTTACACACACCCACACTCACAAAATGCAGGTACCCATCCACTCCGGATTCCATGGGTGACTATTCTGCTTTAGCCTTCGGTAACTCTGAAGATTTGGTCAATCATGCCGAGTACAAAGGTGATGAAGACTGTGAAGTGCCTGGAGAGTTAGCCAGACTTTTGCAACAAGAAGAAAGGGCTATTCTGCCCCATGAAGAGTTGCTGGAAACCATCAATTTGGGAACAGAGGAAGACAAGAAAGAGGTTAAGGTGGATGCCAACCAGGAACCAGGTGTCAAAGAGCGCTAAGTGCAGTTGTTGAACGAATATGTTGAAATCTTCGCCTGGTCCTATGAAGACATGCCGGGATTAGACACAGATATCGTGGTTCACCGTCTCCCTACAAGAGAAGACTGTCCACCGATCAAACAAAAGGTCCGCCGAATAAGGCCCGACATGTCTGAGAAGATCAAGGCTGAGGTAATGAAGCAATTCAATGCTGGCTTTCTGGATGTTACTTCCTATCCATAATGGGTTGCTAACATTGTGCATGTACCTAAGAAGGACGACAAAGTCAGAATGTGTGTGGACTATAGGGATCTAAACAGGGCTAGCCCTAAAGATGATTTTACCCTACCACACATCGACATCTTGGTTGACAACACAGCTCAACACAAGGTATTTTCCTTCATGGATGGATTCTCGGGATACAACCAGATCAAAATGGCCCCCGAAGACATGGAGAAAACTACTTTTGTCACGCAATGGGGTACCTTCTGCTACAAAGTGATGCCATTCGGAATGAAGAATGCCGGGGCAACCTATCAACGCACCATGGTATCTTTGTTTAATGAAATGATACATCATGAGATTGAAGTTTACGTAGACGACATGATAGCCCGTTCACAAACAGATGAAGAACACCTTGATCATCTGCAAAAGTTGTTTGTCAGGTTGAAGGAGTATAAGCTCAGACTGAACCCAAGCAAATGCACATTTGGTGTCAGGTCTCGTAAACTTCTGGGATTTATTGTCAGCAACAAAGGCATTGAGGTTGATCCTGCTAGAGTAAAAGGCATACAAGAAATGCCTGCCCCCCGCACTGAAAAGGAGTTTAGAGGATTCTTGGGACGCTTAAACTATATTGCGAGGTTCATCTCTCACCTAACATCTACCTGTGAGCCAATCTTCAACCTGTTGAAGAAAGATCAGGTAATTGAATGGAACAATGATTGTCAAGTTGCTTTTGATAAGATCAAGGAGTATTTACTGGAACCTCCTATTTTGATGCCACCCGTCGAAGGAAGGTCGTTAATCATGTATCTAACTGTTTTGGATAACTCAATGGGGTGCGTACTGGGCCAACATGACGAGTCTGGCCGAAAAGAGCATGCCATTTATCACCTTAGCAAAAAGTTTACCGACTGTGAGACTCGTTACTCACTGCTCGAGAAAACTTGTTGCGCTTTGGTATGGGCTGCTCGCCGGCTAAGGAAGTATATGTTGACTCATACCAATTTGCTGATTTCCAAGATGGATCTGATCAAGTATATCTTCGAGAAGCCTGTTTTATCTGGAAGGATCGCTAGATGACAAATGATCCTGACTGAGTATGATATCTAGTATACTACCCAAAAAGCTATAAAGGGGAGTGTACTAGCTGACCATCTAGCTCATCAAGCCGTCAAAGATTACCAATCTATGAGATTCGACTTCCCTGACGAGGACATCATGACATTGGACAACATTGAAGATAACAGACCGTATGACGGACCTGAACAAGGATCCCGATGGACCTTGTACTTTGATGGTGCTTCAAATGCCCTTGGCAATGGTATCGGTGCGGTACTCATTTCTCCGGAAGGTTTCCATACGCCCTTCACTGCCCGACTTTGCTTCAGCTGTACCAACAATATGGCTGAATATGAAGCTTGCATCTTTGGTCTCAAGGCTGCTATAGACTTGGGAATCAAATCTTTGGTCGTATTTGGGGACTCGGCTTTGGTTATCAGTCAAGTCAAAGGAGAGTGGGACACTAAACATCCTAACCTTATCCCATACAAAGAACATGTCCTGACATTATTGCCTCATTTCGAGCAGATTACTTTCGAGCACTTCCCGCGAGAAGAAAATCAGCTAGCAGATGCTCTGGATACAATGTCTTCCATGTTTAAACTCATCTGGGATAATGAGGCTCCCCAAATCACCATCGAGCGAATGGACGAACACTACAAGAAAATTGGCAGATTGCGACAGGTATTTTTGTAGATTACGACGGTTAAAACCGTCGCAATTTGCTTTCCACGACGGTTGCTTTACCGTCGCAGAAGTGTGTGTCCCCAACCTATTTCGCGACGGTTACAAAAACTGTCGTTCAAGTTTACGACGGGTTGATACCGTCGTGACTATCTTTTGAGTTTCTTATAATTATTGATGGCGACGGTTCGATACTGTCGTGAATATCTTTTGAAATTGATTAAATTGTTTATGGCGACGGTTCGATACCGTCATGACTTTTGTTGATTATTTTTAATTGTTGATTACGACGGTTCGGTACTGTCACCATGACTTTTGTTTATGTCTTGATTTTTTTTTATTTTTCTATTTTATATATTTTTTTACTTAAATTATTATCTATGTAAAAAATTTTAAATATAGTTTTTTTTTGTGTTATTTTTTTCTTTAAATTATTTCTTCTTTAATATATTTATTTATAGTATTATTTTTTGTTTTATTTTCTATCACTTTGTAATATAGTAAAAATAATTTCAATAAAAAATATTTAACATCAAATAAGCATTATAATATCCAAAAAAATGTGTGTTCCATAATCATGTAAAATGCGAGTTCCATAATCATGTCAAGTAGTACAAAAAACCCAAAATATATCAATTCCTAATCTTATAATAATAAGTATCATTATGCCAAAAATACATGAGAAAGTTCACAATCTAATTATCTCGATCATAGCAAAGTCTAATTTGTCCCCCTTGAAGTTCCATTATCTCCAATACGGTAGCTAGACTCAGATGAACGTCTACCATCAGCGGGTGATTCCAATCCCTAAAAAAAGGTATTAAAATAATAATCTTTAAAATAATACTCATAAAATTTAACTTTAAATGCGTCAAAATAATATACCTGTCTTATTGAAATCACAAATACAGTAATATCATAGCATACCGAGTTGCTAAATTAAGATTCTCTCCTATTTTAATTAAGATTCCACTTGACAAGATCACCAAAAAAGCCCCCGGAACTTGATTTCAGAAACTGGTATACTGGAGTATTAAATGGTCCATTTACATCAACCTGTTTTACAAAACTTCATTACCTTGTCATCATGATAAAAATTTACATTCAGAAGATCAATTGTATAATCAACGTTAGTACGAATTTCTCCTCGAATTTGAATTTCCTTCAGCCCCAAAACCATATTTGCAATTGCTAAAGCCCTCGATTCTCCAAAGGCAAAAACATGTCCTGTGTTAAAACTTATGATATTAGCTGCTGAAAAAATATATATCTATACATTAAAATATCAACATGATAGCCTAGAATCTGCAATTTCTCGATCAAAGTTACTGCATACCAAATTGAGAATCTGAAAATTCATGGATTCCTCCTCCAGAATGCAAACATATAATTGCCTAAATTTAGTGCCTCGCCAATCAAATTAAAAATACTAACAAAGAGATAGAAGATTTACCTTAACAGAGAAGTAAGCCCAAACATTTGGTTTGCTTTTAAAGCTGAGCTCCTGTAAAAATATTTTAATTCAGTATATATTATGCGATGAATGAATTAAAGATGAAATTTCTGTTGGATATAGCAGTTAACCTGCACTTTCCCGCCTGTAGGCTTAAAACCATCATCGGGGTCCTCACTAGTCACTCGCACAGCCACACAATGACCCTTTGGCTTTGTAGACTGTGCTTTGTCAAAATCAAAAGGGGTAGCTAAAAATGATGTTTTCCTCCAAGCATCATTCCCTCCACCATGTTCCATCCCATAGAAACGCCTAATCTCTGTTAAGTATGAGTGTGAGACTCGTGAAATATATGTGCGAAAGCAATAATAGTAAAAATATTATATCTGAAGCTATACCGGGAATTTTCCAGAGAGGGATACCCATCCCAACGGCAACTTGTGCTGCTGGCAGATTTATCTCAGCTATCCATTCAGTAACAGGATGCTCAACCTATATATCAATAAATGCAAAACAACATCAGGAAATATTAGAAACATGGCAACAAAATACTAAGATAAAGTTCCTATGTCAAGGTCAGAAGGAGAAGTAATCAAGCCATAAGAGAAAAACAAATTAATTATGGTGTGCCTAAAATCAAGGTTATAGTACAACACCTGTAGACGGGGGTTCAGCTCTAAAAAGTAGTACTCGCCAGTTTCCATGCTATAAAGATACTCAACTGTAGCTGCCCCAACATAATTTACAGATATAGCTAATCTTCTAGCCGCTTGTTCAAGTTCTTTCACCGTTTCTGGGGGTGCTACAGTAATCGGACCCTCCTCAATAATCTGTTCCAGATGATTGATTATGTCATTACCGAGATTCATTCCATCGTGACAATTTTGTGTAGTAACTAGTAACAGAAAATTTTCATACCTTTTGATGCCTTCGTTGAACACTGCAATCACGGCTGTGTAAAGCTGCAACATTTCCGTACTGATCACAAATCAGTTGGACTTCAAGATGCCGGCTCTATTTAGAAGCAAGAGAGATCGTCAGCGTATGATCAAAACTCCAAAAATCAAGCTCACTCAGATCAAAGTTCAGTGGTTTATCTAACCTGGGAAGCAACTTTCATTATAAATATAGGTGATCCCGGAACTTCACCTTGAACTTGCTTGAACAATGCCCTTACCTCATCATCATTATGAACCTAAAATATCCACATGCATGTTAGTTTCTTAACTTTTACCAAACAAAACACAAAAATATGATTGGCACAAGATTATCAGCATTGATCTATGTAAGCACTGATGCTTCAGATTTAACGTGTGCCCGATTTCCGATCACTTTCATGTTCTCAAATTATTACTGGTGTGAACATGTCAGTGTCAATGTCGTATGTTTGTGTCAGTGCTTCATAGGTAGATACTATACAATTTTCTACATGTTACAGAGTTGACCATAAGGAAGCAAACCTTTCTTATGCCTTTACCACCACCACCCCAAGACGCCTTGATCATTGCAGGGTATCCAACAACTTGACAACTTGCAATTGCTTCTTCTGTTGTATAAACACATGCTGCTCGGTAGATTTCATCAGGAATAGTAATCAAGGAGCTTTCAGGAGGAATTTTCACCTGTGGAAAAATTACAAAGTCATAAGTCGGGTAACCCATACAAATGAAGTACACTACAATGGGAGAAAAACTTTACATGTGAACCACTCCATGGAAGGGTTGGCACATTGGCTGCTTGAGCGATCAACGATGAACCAATTTTATCTCCCAATGCCCCCATAGATACTGCAGGAGGCCCAAGAAATACAATTCCTTTTGCTTTTAATGCATCTGGTAGCTCAGGATTCTCTGATGCATGACCCCAACCAGGCCATACCGCATCAACATGAGTTATCTCGGCAATCTGGAAAACACATTGCATTGCCGTCAGCAAAATTAACAAGTTATGCAGATCAAAATAATCACAATTACATAAGCACTGAAATCATTTAAATGACAAGAATAAATAAGCTGCAGTAATCTCATGAAGTCGACATCACATACCTCTAGAATAAGCTGCACATTGGCGTAGTTATTATTATAAGAAATTGCATCTGGAGGACAGCCCACTTCACCAATATTTAAACCCCCTCTTAACAAACCAGAAACTTTTAAGATCAAAGTTCTATCGGAAATTTCATCAAACACCTTAGATGCATCATACAAAATTGTAACATTGTTTCCAATCACAATCACAGTTGCTTCACCAATAACAACATCAGTAGCAGTTACTAAAGAGATTATAATAGATTTAGAAACAACAACACCAGTAAATATAATGTTCTAAAGAAACTTAAATATTATCAATGCACCAACCCCTATCCAATGTCGATAAGAATCTGTGAAGAGTCCAAGAGATTCCAAAACTTGAGAGTAATTAGGCCTTCAATATTACTAAAAGTAAAACACTTCTAAAGTTGCAAGTATAAAAGATTACATGGTGCCAAATATCTCTAAGGAATTCATTCACCAATGTATCATTTTGTCATGGTTTTTGATGTCTTTAAGACTTCAACACAGTACTGACGCACTTCAAAAGGACCATGGCTCGATTGTATTTTAAAATTTAGAACTAGTATATTGACATGTTGCACATAAGGTTTTTTACCTCCCAACTTTGGATTGAATCCTATTATGTAATAGATGAGAAAAACCCAAACACCAACTTCAAAAAATGTAACATATGAATGCTTTAGTTGTCATCATCTTCTTGAAAAAAGTCACAGTAATAATGAATGTGCTATTCAGTCTAAGTAAGGTGTGCATAAAAAACCTTGAACGAAATTGGGATGATTCACAAATCTTATAAAATGGAAGTTACAAAGTAAAGTGCAGTAGTAGTTAAATAGAACTCCCATAGTGCAGAGGCATTCCTAAATCACATGACAATACAAACTCAATATAATCTTTAACCTTGAGATATCAGAACCTCCATGTAAACAAGTAATATATAATCAACAACATAAACATAGATACACATAAACTGATGTTGTATGATATAGAACAAAGCAATCCTCATCTACAATATCAAGAGCAGACTGACCGCTAATCAACAACATAAACATAGATACACATAAACTGATGTTGTATGAAAAGCACCTTATTGGCAGCATCAACTATATCAGCTTTACAGTACCCATTTAAAAGTGCTTCATACGCAAAAACATCAGCCTGGCCGTGCTTTTCCAAAATCTCCATGACCCGAATAGCTTTCTGGGTTTTCTTAGAATTTATTGTGTCTGAATATGTGTCTGAATCAATAGATACCTTATTTGTTAAGTGCAAAAGAAAAGCAAAACATAGCTTAATAATAAAATCCAATTTAATTTCTGTGATATGATATGAATGAGAGCTAAATATTCAAAAGAAATTTTAATTTTAATTACAACTTACAGAACCATAAAGATAGGGACTTCGGGGAAAAACAACTTCGACTATTCCTTCTAACATCAGTAAAACCTCCTTCATTGTTGGCCTAAGAGAAGGATCTTCTTGAATACACCAAATAACAATCATGACTAACTTTTCCAAACTCATCATGTCATTTCCGACCTCATTATCATTTTCTAAGAGATTGTCAAGTCTTTTAGTCTTATAGAAATCATAAGCCCAATCAGTTAAAATCCCTTGTTCTTCATTAACAAATTCCTTCTCTACATTTTTCCTACAACAAATGATCTCTAACAACAATACACCAAAACTATAAGTATCAACTTTTGCAGTGATTGGTGCACTCCTAAACCAATCTGGCGCAACATACCCTTTGGTTCCTCTAATTCCAGTTTCGGTGTGGCTCTGATTAATCAGCAATAGCTTTGCTAACCCAAAATCTGAAATCCTAGCATTGTAGTGATCATCTAGAAGTATATTTTGGGGTTTAATATCACAATGGATGATTTGGGTGCAACATCCTTCATGCAAGTATACAAGACCTCTAGCAATTCCAAGAACAATTTGGAATCGTTGGTTCCAATTTGGTTTTAAAGAGGTGAAAAAGGAAGCTTGCTAAAGTTTCGTTGCTCATTAACTCGTAAACCAAAACCCGATGTTGTCCCTCATTGCAATATCCAAGAAGACGAATAAGGTTTCTGTGATGAGTTTGTCCTATCACACTCATTTCGGTCTGAAATTCCTTATCACTATCTTGAAGCAACTTATCAAGTTTCTTAACGGCTACATCAACCATCATCTCTATTGTTCCTTTGTACACAACGCTACAAGACCCTCTTCCAAGTTCCTCTCTGAAGTTACTCGTTGCTTCAACGATTTCCTTGAAGCTAAAATTGCGCAAGTTATTGTCAACAACATTTTTGTTGGTTCTACAACTTTTTATCATATTGCGGTTGTAAGGAAACCCAAAAAACATTGCTCCAAGTAATGTCACAATGACAAGCATAGAGCTTCCTAAAAGAACCGAAATTACAATAATCAAAGTTTCATGATCTTTCTTTTGATTTGAAATGGAAGAAAAAGGATCGTTTTTCATCAATTTCATGACAGAAATTCCTTTTACTACTTGATCATTTCTTCCATAAGATAGTGGAAGCTTCTTCTTCCAGCAAGAACTTTGGTTGAAAGAAACCAAAACACATAAGCAATCTTGCTTTGTCTGAACCATATCATATTCTAATTTAATGTTACAGTTAGACTTTATTGCCATCACTGGTTATGACTTTTCTCTCTATAACATAACATAGTGAAGGTCACTGTTGATATCTCCAATGGATTCTCCAACTCATAAAGATACAGAAAGAAACCAGATATCGCCTTTAGGTGATGAAGCACAAACACCAAATGCATACAAAGTTGCAATTCCTCCAAAACAGAACTTCATTACTGATAAATCATTGTTTAAGAAAATAGGCAATTTTTTTGATTTCACCAATTTATATTAGTTTTCATCGATTCTAATCGGTCCAGCGACATATTTAATCTAATAATCAAATCAAACCCTAAAACAACAAATTAGAAAACCTAAAAAATCATAAAAAGAAATAAAACCCTAAAACAACAAATTAGAAAACCTAACATCAATTCAATATATTCAAACTCAAAATCAATCATCACAAAGAGCTCAACCATAAGATTCAAGTGAATCTCCAATGCTGAAATCAATGGCAGAGAATGAGAGAGATGAGAACAATGCAAAAAGTGATACATAAAACTTACTGTGTTTGAAGAGATGAACGCAGAGGATGTTAAACTGCTTGCTGTGCGTTTTTTGGTGTGAAGATGAGCGGTTTGAAGAGATTCCTTTCGGTGTCAAGGGGTTTCTTTCGGTGTGAAGAAGAACGGCATGAACGGCACCGTGAGTAGAAAAAGTGAACGCAGGAGTAGAAAGTGAATGGATGTTTTATGAGCTTTTTAACTTTTTTACGGCGACGGGTGTTTTACCGTCGTGCCCATGAGAATTTTTAAAGGTTTTGGGTGCGACGGTTGTTTTACCGTCGTGAAATGAATTTTAGGACGGATAATTTTACCTTCGTGAAAGGTTTAAGGGTGCGACGGGTGCTTTACCGTCGTGATATGCCTTTTAGGACGGTTAATTTTACCGTCGTGACTAGTTGTTGGTGAAAAATCAATGTTAAAAGTGTTAAATGGGGGCCGACGGTTGTTTTACCGTCGTAATAATAATATTATGATGGTTAAATATATCGTCGCAAAATAAATATTAGGGACGGTTGGTGTCAACTGTCGTAAACACTGTCTCTATATGTAAATTACGACAGTTATCACATAACTGTCGCAATTTTTGTGTCGTTAAACACTAATTTTCTTGTAGTGGAACCTGCGCACTGTCATGAGATTAATACCGAGGAAGTAGTGGAACAACCTTGGTTTCATGAAATCAAAAGGTATCTCCAGACTCGAGAATACCCTGAAGGAGCTTCCGTCAATGACAAAAAGTTCTTAAGGATATTTTCTGCCAAGTTCTTCCTAAGCAATGGTATCCTTTATAAGCGCAGCCATGATTGTGTTCTACTTCGTTGTGTGGACAAGGTTGAAGCAGAGGTTATCATGACCGAAATACATAGTGGCACATTTGGCACCCACTTAAGCGGACATACGATGGCTAAGAAGATTCAAAGGGCAGGATACTACTGGTCTACCATGGAAGCTGATTGTCATCAACATTCCCGTACTTGCCACAAATGCCAAGACTATGCTGACAAGGTACATATTCCTCTTGTTCCTCTCAACATTCTGACAGCTCCTTGGCCATTCGCAATGTGGGGCATCGACATGATTGGAGAGATCAAGCCTACGACATCCAATGGACATCGCTTCATCCTGGTGGCCATTGATTACTTCACCAAATGGGTCGAAGCAGCTTCCTACGCCTCAGTTACAAAGAATGTGGTTGCCCGCTTCATTAAACAGAATCTCATATACCGGTATGGCATCCCTGACAGAATTATCACGGACAACGGTACAAATTTGAACAACACTATGATCACCGCTCTGTGCGAGCAGTTCAAGATTTATCATCACAATTCATCTCCCTACCGGCCGAAGATGAACGGTGCTGTTGAAGCCGTGAACAAAAATATCAAGAAGATCATTCAAAAGATGACAGTCACCTACAAGGACTAGCATGAGACTTTACCAATTTCTCTGCATGTGTATCGTACCATGACGCGTACTTCAACAGGGGTAACCCCCTTTTCTTTGGTATATGGCATGGAAGCTATTTTACCTATGGAAGTTCGGATTCCCTCCTTAAGGATTACGAAGGATGCCGGTTTGAGTAATGACGATTGGATTCAGACCCGGCTTGATCAACTTAATCTGATCGACAAGAAACGACTTATTGTTGTTTGTCATTGTTGTACCCCAAAATTTTCTCTCCCATATTCCTCAAGATTTGACAAGAATAATCTTCAAATTACTCAAGATGGCTCAAGAAGTAGACAGTCAAACCACCTCCTAAGACAACTGAAATTAGGGTTTTGATTCTTTCAAGGAATTTGGGGTTCTCAATGGTTCAATCAAGTCTCATAGGCCTATATACATTCTCTAGCACCTACATACCAAGTTTCAAGACTCATAGTGCCAATTTACACAGTCAAAAGCTCCATTTGATCCACAGTTCACTGCAGGGGCAAAATGGTCATTTTGTAGTCAAAATTCAGAATTTTTGGTCAACATCTTATTTTGAGTCCGCAATCATCATTTGATCAAGTCTTGATCATGATTCCACAAGCATAGCTCAAAAATCATCAAGGTGCAAAAAGTTACTATTTTTGGACAGCAGAAAAGTCAACTGTATCTTGACCAGCGCATAACTTTTTCATGGTTTGTCAGAAAAATCCCATACAATTCTCATTTTGAAGAGGATGCAATCTCCTACAATCCATCTTCACACTCCAAGTTAAAGAAATGCTCTCACAAAAAGTTATCAATTTTTACATTATAGGTCAAATTCAAAAGTCAACAAAAGTACACTTTGAGTCAAAGGCCATAACTTGAGATTGGTAAATCCAAATGAAATGGGACCAAAGGCATTGGTTATAGGACTTCAAGAGCTTTCCAAAATGTCCAAGAACATGGTCATATGATCAAAATTGAGCAAGTTGTGCATTGGAGAAGTTGAGAAATTTTCATGAATTTGCAAGAGTCAACTTTGCTCAAAACACCTTATTTTTGCTAATGGGCCTCAAATCTCTTCTTGAAACTTCATCCATGGCCTATGCACGACCCACCAAGCTTAATTGGATTTATTTTCTTATTTTTATTGATTAATTGGATTTTTAATTAATATTAATTCATTTAATTAATTTAAATTGTAGGAAAATAGAAGATTTGGTTTTTAAATCTTTTTGTGAAGCAAATAGGACCTAATCATGCTGGCAAATTCGTGCACAAGTCAAAGATACAAAAAATCCAAAATTGGCAACTTTGTTCAATCATGAAGATTCAAAAATATTTGATTTCCAATCAAAGATCTAAACATCAATGCAATGGATATTGGCCCAAGTTTTTGACCTAATTTCATTCTCTTATACATATGCAAGAAAACCCTGATCTAGAGGACGGGAAAAAGCTGCAGAAAAGACCCTAGCATATTCAAGAAATTTCAAGAAAAAGTGAAAACCTATTCTTGTATTCCAAGCCAATTCAAGGCGTGCTATTCATTCAAACACATTGCAGGAAGTGTCAGGAGTGTTTTGCAATCAAACTCAGGCCTTACAGCTCAAAGAATCATCATATATTGTTTCACGGTTTACAGCTTTTATCCAGAATCATAACTCTTAAATCATGCATATTTAACGTGTTTTCTTGATTGATTTGTGTTGCTAGGAACCATATGAAGCTAACGGTATGACTGAATTAAACTATAACGCCCTGAATCAAAAGTTGCCATGATCAAAATTCTAGGGTTCTTGAACTTCCAATTAGGGCTTTCTAAACCAGGAACAATTGGGACCAGTGAGACACATGGTTGAGATCGTGAGAATAAGACGAACCTAACCCACCCATCGCGAAATATTTATATTCATTATGCTTCTATTCGCTATTTTTGATTGCAGGAAGTAGTGGGGGTCAAAAACCCCCGCTATCTGATATTATTTTTGCAGGAACAACGAAGAAGATGATGATGTGTTGATACACCATTGGGCAATTTGAAAACACACGCGTTTTTTTGTGTTTACAGCATATTGTTTATTTTTTGTATATAATATTCTCTCTCCATCCACTTAACAAACGCGCATTACAGCTCAGTTGGCAAAAGCATTAAAGGATTATCCCTTGGGACCTGGGTTCGAATCCCAGGTCCCCCAAATGTTTATTTGATTTTTTCCTTCAGGCGTTTTTGTACAGCTTGCAAAGAGAAGACCACCATATGCTTCAAAGCTCAGCATGCCATGTGTCTCCAAACTCAGATCCAATGGCCATGAATGGGAGATCACCATACTCCCCAGTCAACAGGCGTGTGGGTAATCAGAAAAGTCAAACAGACTGGAATATTGTTGGGCCACAAATTGCCAAAGACACCTCCTAACTTGGGCTAACACCCCCCATGGGTTTATTCTTTTTTCTTCCTTTATATTTATTCATTTAATTGTTTTATTAATTATTATTATTACTTAATTAACCAAATTAATTTTTTCATAATAAATTCAGAAAACATAAAAATATAATATTTTATTTATTAAATTTAATTAGTTATTTTGTAAATAAATACCAATATAATTAATTTAGTTGTTTTAATTAGGTTAATTTCAATATTTTCACAATAAATAAAATTAATGTAGAATTAGGGTTCTTGACAACTTTTAATCATTTTTTTTATTATTTATTTCCTTAAGGCATTAAAAAACCAAAAATATTTCTTTTTATTAATTAATTAGTTTTAGGATTAATTTAATTAAGTACAAAATAGCAAAAACTCTTTCTTTCTCAAAAAAGGGTCAAAACCCTAGGAACTTCTCCGATTCAATTTTTTTCGCGCATATTATTTTTTTTCCAATTATGTAATTGCTCCGAGGATGTAATAGCTTTAATTAGGATATTTTATCGCTTTCATTTAATTTTCCGCAATTTACTTTTCAAGGGTTTGCTTTTGGCGATGTAAATACCCGACGCCTTGTAATAGCGTAGATTTACTTTCCCCAACTATTAACTGCTAGATATATGTTAACTAGGCTATGCATGACA